CTGCGGAGACAAAGACAAGGACAGTCAGGACGGGGGCCATCCTGGAGAGAGACCCGAGTTCGAATCCACGCTTGGTCCTGAAACAAGGCCACATAAATAAAGTAAAATAAAATAAATATCACAATCGATGGATATAATAAAAGTCAGTGTTTGTATGCGGAGGGAGGGAGGGAGGCATGTGGCAGCTTTCTGATTGGCTGCCACTTTCACAGGACACTGTGACCACCATGGGTGACAGACAAAGGATGATGGAATTCGTAGTACTTCAAACCCATTGGTTCCCACAGACCACTGTGGGCCCAAATGAAGACTGATAAAGACCAACCTTGGCACACAGAGCCCCCATGACCCACTCTACATCTTACTGCAGTTTGGAGGAGGGCTGACCATGGATGATGGGATTTGAAGTACCCCCACTCAATTCCCGAGACTGCTGCGACCCTCATCCAATGACCAATCAAGACCAACCTTGGCACACAGAGCCCCCATGACCCACTCTACATCCTACTGCAGTTTGGAGGAGGGCTGACCATGGATGATGGGATTTGAAGTACCCCCGCTCAATTCCGGAGACTGCTGCGACCCTCATCCAATGACCAATCAAGACCAACCTTGGCACACAGAGCCCCCATGACCCACTCTACATCCTACTGCAGTTTGGAGGAGGGCTGACCATGGATGATGGGATTTGAAGTACCCCCCACTCAATTCCCGAAACTGCTGCGACCCCCATCCAATGACCAATCAAGACCAAACTTGGCACATATAATCCCCATGACCCACTTTACGTCCTGGTGAGGGTTGGGGGAGGACGGACAATGGATTATGGGATTTGGAGTACTTTCCCACCCCTTTTGTTCCCACAGACTACTGCGGCCCCCAACAAAGACTGATAAAGACCAAACTTGGCACACAGAGCCCCCATGACCCATGAATATTAAAATGAATAAAAAATACAAAAATATAAAATAAAATAAAATAAAATACAAAATAAAATAAAATACAAAATAAAATACAAAATAAAATACAAAATAAATAAATAAATAAATATTTTAAAAAAATATCCCTGCTTGGTCCTGAAATGTATGGCTCTGCAGAACAAACAAACAAAAAAAAAATACTGAATGTTAAGAAATGGATAATAAATAAACAAATAAAAACTAATAAATAAATAAATAATAAAATTGAAATTAAAAAAAAAATAAAAGATGAATCAAATGATAGATAAATAAATAAATACAATTTCAAAGTTTTGTTCATTTTGTTGTTGTTGTTGTTTTTTATTTTTTAAGTTTTGGCCTTGAAACTTATAATGGCTGTGCAGGCTGATACGTTCTTGACCCCCAAATAAGTCCAAATGAGGGTCCGAGACATATGATTATTGTCTCTTCGTGTTATCACTTTTGGCCCCGAGGATCCCCATCCTGGCAACACCTGAAAGGCAACGGCGTTCGTTCGCTCGCTCGCAAGGTGGGCAGTTTCGTGTGCCGAGGCGGCAGGTGACTCAGAGGCGCCGGAGCCGGTCCGACAGGTACGAAGGGGTGGCTTTGCGTGCCAAAGAAACGCACAAAAACGCACAATCGCAGGCAACACACCTTCACAGCTTCCTCTTTGGCACCTTCTTGGCTCTTCTAGTCTACAATTCTGTTGATTATCTCCATTGGCTGGGTTGGGAATATCGATCTATATCTATATCTATATATAGATATACACACACACATACATAAGCACAGGGTAAGTCTCGATGACCTTTGAGAGCCCCTTCCAACTATGTCCTTGCCATTGAGAACACCGTATTCCTGCATTTCATCCATGTATTTAGAGTGAAATATTTCAGTTGGGAGGACATAGATTGGGTATTCATATATATATATATATATATATATATATAAGCATAGGGTAAGTCTAGATGACCTCTGGGGGTCCCTGCCAACGGGGCCCTTGCCATTGAGAACACTGTATTCCTGCATTTAATCTATGTATTATCCTATTTAGAGTGAAATATTCCAGTTGGGAGGACATGGGTTGGGTATTCATATATATATATATATACATCAATTCTTGTTTCATTGTTTCCAACAAGGCATTTCATCAGTTAAGATTCCTTCTCCCATACCAAACTGCTTAAACTTGCCAATTTGTTTCTTCCAATTATTCTTTTCTCTTTTCCATCTATAGTAGACTTAAGTAACCAGATCTCTCAAGCAACTGACCAACAAGTGAAGAAATAATACGTTAAATACAAATTAAATACATTTATAATACAGTAAGTATATTATATATAATAAACACACACAACAAATATACCCTGCACACATACATACACCACAATATAAACCCAATTGCACTAACAGCACATCACATATACCAATTCATATACCATTAAACACAACAATATAGCCACAGACCCCAAGTATATATACACATATAATACACACACACACTCATACATAAATATATAGATATATATATAAACACACACACAAATATACACCTGCACACATACATACACACATATATAAACACAAAGATGCATATAGACAAGCACACACATATACACAATATACATATACACATATAAACACACAAATATACACACACCCACACACATATATATACACATCTAAACACACACATATGCACACATACATATGCACCTACATATATATATATATATATATATAAACACACACACAAATATACACCTGCACACATACATACACACATATATAAACACAAAGATGCATATAGACAAGCACACACATATGCACAATATACATATACACATATAAACACACAAATACACACACACATATATACACATCTAAACACACACATATGCACACATACATATGCACCTACATATATATATAAACACACACAAATATACACCTGCACACATACATACACACATATATAAACACAAAGATGCATATAGACAAGCACACACATATACACAATATACATATACACATATAAACACACAAATATACACACACCCACACACATATATATACACATCTAAACACACACATATGCACACATACATATGCACCTACATATATATATATATATATATATATATATATATATATATATATATATAAACACACACACAAATATACACCTGCACACATACATACACACATATATAAACACAAAGATGCATATAGACAAGCACACACATATACACAATATACATATACACATATAAACACACAAATATACACACACCCACACATATATATATATACACATCTAAACACACACATATGCACACATACATATGCACCTACATATATATATATATATATATATAAACACACACACAAATATACACCTGCACACATACATACACACATATATAAACACAAAGATGCATATAGACAAGCACACACATATACACAATATACATATACACATATTCTCCTGCCTTCCTGATGATTCTAACCTTATTATTATTATTATTATTATTATTATTATTATTATTATTATCATCATCATCCTATTTTTCTTCCTTCCTGATGGTTCTACCCTTATCATCATCATCATCATCATCATCATCATCATCATCATCATGTATTTACACCTGCTATGTGTTTTGCATTATTATTATTATTTGTATTTGGGAATATTTGCATATGTGTAATGAGATTATCTTGGGAATGGGACCGAAATCTAAAGACACTGGTGTTTCGTAGGAAGGCCGTGCGATGCACAAGATTTGCACGACAACGTTTCACGAGGAACAAGGCGTGTGATTGCACCTGCTATGTGTTTTGCATTATTATTATTTTTCGTATTTGGGAATATTTGCATATGCGTAATGAGATTATCTTGGGAATGGGACCGGAATCTAAAGATACTGGTGTTTCGTAGGAAGGCCGTGCGATGCACAAGATTTGCACGACAACGTTTCACGAGGAACAAGGCGTGTGATTGCACCCGCTATGTGTTTTGCATTATTATTATTTTTCGTATTTGGGAATATTTGCATATGCGTAATGAGATTATCTTGGGAATGGGACCGGAATCTAAAGATACTGGTGTTTCGTAGGAAGGCCGTGCGATGCACAAGATTTGCACGACAACGTTTCACGAGGAACAAGGCGTGTGATTGCACCTGCTATGTGTTTTGCATTATTATTATTTTTCGTATTTGGGAATATTTGCATATGCGTAATGAGATTATCTTGGGAATGGGACCGGAATCTAAAGACACTGGTGTTTCGTAGGAAGGCCGTGCGATGCACAAGATTTGCACGACATTTGTTCATGAGGAACAAGGCGTGTGATTGCACCCGCTATGTGTTTTGCATTATTATTATTTTTCGTATTTGGGAATATTTGCATATGCGTAATGAGATTATCTTGGGAATGGGACCGGAATCTAAAGACACTGGTGTTTCGTAGGAAGGCCGTGCGATACACAAGATTTGCACGAGAACGTTTCACGAGGAACAAGGCATGTGATTGCACCTGCTATGTGTTTTGCATTATTATTATTTTTCGTATTTGGGAATATTTGCATATGCGTAATGAGATTATCTTGGGAATGGGACCGAAATCTAAAGACACTGGTGTTTCGTAGGAAGGCCGTGCGATGCACAAGATTTGCATGAGAACGTTTCACGAGGAACAAGGCGTGTGATTGCACCCGCTATGTGTTTTGCATTATTATTATTTTTCGTATTTGGGAATATTTGCATATGCGTAATGAGATTATCTTGGGAATGGGACCGAAATCTAAAGACACTGGTGTTTCGTAGGAAGGCCGTGCGATGCACAAGATTTGCATGAGAACGTTTCACGAGGAACAAGGCGTGTGATTGCACCCACTATGTGTTTTGCATTATTATTATTTTTCGTATTTGGGAATATTTGCATATGCGTAATGAGATTATCTTGGGAATGGGACCGGAATCTAAAGACACTGGTGTTTCGTAGGAAGACTGTGCTATGCACAAGATTTGCACGACAACGTTTCACGAGGAACAAGA